GGGTCCCCCCCCCGCAGGCGGAAGCTGGCGGCCGCCCAGCGGCCTGGGTCCAGACGGGGGTCGGCGTCCGGCATCGCCTGCGGGGCACCAGTGAGACCAGTTTGGACCAGTAAGGAGCGGCGGAAGCTTGGTAGGAACGGGTGCGGGGCGCTACAGAGCTCCTGGAACAGCCCCTTAATGCCTCCAAACCCTTCCCAGTATGGCCAGTAAGGTCGATATGGACCAGTACGGTTCATTAGAGACCAGTACAGACCCGTAAAGACCAACATGGACTGGTAGAAGAGACAGAAAACCAGTAGGAACCAGCACGAACTGCTAAGACCTTCCAGAATAGTCCGTTAATGCCTTCAAACTCTTCCCAGTATGACCAGTAAGACCAGGATGAACCAATACCATTCATTGAAAACCAGTACGGAGCAGTGCAGCTTTTTAAAACCAGTATGAACCAGTGAAGAGCCAAGCAGGGCATTACAACACAGTAAATGCCAGTACAGACCACTACAGGCCAGTAAGACCTTCCATGGGCCCTTAAAGCCTCCAGACCCCTCCCAGTATGACCAGTAAGACTGGGATGGACCGGTATAAGGCCATACAAACAAATAGGGACCATTATAAGCCATTAGAAACCAGTAGGAACCAGAATGAACCACCACACAGCAGTAAGAGCTCCTAGAATGACTGACTGAAGCCATCAAGCCCTTCCCAGTATGGCCCAGGTCCCCCAGTCCGTCCCATTATGGCCCAGTAACCCCTCCCAGGCTCCCAGTATGGCCCAGTTCCCCCCCAGTCCTTCCCAGTACAGCCCCATAACCTCTCCCAGGCTCCCAGTACAGCCCAGTAATGTCCTAGTTCCCCCCCAGCACAGCCCAGACCACCCTCTCAGGGTCCCAGTATGGACCAGTTCCCTCCCAGTCCGTCCCAGTGCCCTGCCCGAGCCTGACGCCAGAAGGACCCAGGCACCCGGGCCTGCCTCAGCAGCTCCCCCCCCCAAACTGCCTCCTCCCCCGCCGCGGCAGGGACCAAGGCGTCCGGGAGTGCTCCCAGCCCGACCAGTTCCCCCAGTCTGCCCAGTTCCCCCCTTCCTGTGCTCCCACTGCTCCCAGTAGCCCCCCCAAGTGCTCCCAGTAACCCCCCAGCGCTCTCAATAAGCCCAGTTACCCCCTCCCAGTACTCTTGGTAACCACAGGGCTCCCACTTAACCTGTCCCCGTGCTCCCAGTAACCCCAATGCTTCCAGTTACCCCTCTAGTGCTTCCAGCAGCCCCAGTAACCCCCTCCCAGTGCTCCCAGTAAACCCTTTATGATCATTTCAGTAACCCCTTCCCAGTGCTCCCAGTGACCCCCTCTGTGTCCTCCTGGTAAGTCTACTAACTCCTTCCAGTGCTCCCAGTTTGCCCAGTACCCCCCTCCCAATGCTCCCAGT